AGTAAGCCCACAGCACCCTCCAGCCTTGTTCCCCAGCTCTCAGATGCTCTCGGGGAGTCACTTTCTCTTCCCCTCCATCCACCCCAGTTTGGCGCCAGGTCCCACAAATTGGCACCAGGTCCCACAGCAAAATGATACATGGCAGGGCTCGGCCAGGATCTGTCTCTGAGCTTGTGGACACTGGCTGCATTGACGTCCTCTGAGGCTTGAAAAACAGCTGATGGTTCAACACATAGGTCTGTCCTCATTCATTCATTCATTCATTCATTCATTCATTCATTCAGAAAATAGCAGAGGAGCCCCCACTGTGTGAGGCGCTCCTCTGGCACATGGAGTCCACATCGGGAGAGAAATGACCACCCTACCCACCACCTCAGTGTCACAGGTCCACCTCAGACATCAGGAACAGGGCAACATCTGAACATGTGCTCAGGAGCCTCCGTGAGAACAGGGAGGCAGTTACCCAGAGACCTGGAAATAGGGAGCGGCTGTAAGCCAGCAAGCACGTGCAAATCCTCACCCCACCCCCGGCCACAGAAGCCGGGCAGTAGGGGAGGAAGCAAGAGCTATTGCAGGGAGGCGAAGTCTGTGAAGTCCAGGCGATGCCCACCTGCCGAGGCATAGTGTGGCATTCCCTACCCCCAGCCTCACTGCCCACCTCTTTCTATTACAGCCACTAGCGCCCAGAGCCAGGCTGCTCCCCAGAAGCCAGAACTTTTCCCAGAGGCCTCTGATCCTCAAGACTGAAGACCAATGTGGACAAGAGGGAACAGCCCCTCCCCTAAAAAAACCATACCCAGCTCCATACCCACACTGGAAAATATGCTCTGGATTAACTCTGGGAACAGAAAGGACACACAAATTAAGCACTGGCTGTATGCACAGGTGACAAAGATCATCTGGCTAGCACACCTTGGTGCCCTCAGGGCTCTGAGGCTGTGGGCCCACTGCCATCCTTGTGAGCTATCCCGACGGCCTTAGGCAAATGGAGTCTGCAGATTCCAAGCTGGGGGTGACAGGCGAAGATGGCTCTGTCTGTCCCCAAAGGCCACCCAGTGTTCCTTGGGCCCTTCAGGCTCTGCCTCCTGGCTGAAGGGGCTGGTCATTCAGCTCCCATGCTCTAAGTAGGACTTCCTAGGCCCTACGAGACCATGTCATGTGGAGCAGCAGGAACCAGGCCCCTGGAAAATAGCAGGCGTGCAACACAGGCCTGGGTCAGGCCTGGGGCCAGCCTGTAGTTACCAAGCACCAAGCACAGCTGGCAGTCCCAAGGCGACATCTGCGTTCTAAGGAGAGCAGCATGGGTAACAGGCTGGGTACCAACGTCCTGGCTCCTCTTCCCTGTTTATAGCCTGCTAGGTAACTGTCCCACGGGACTGACCGCCTCCACCAGGACACAGCCCAGGAGCCCGGAGAGCCATCCACCCCGGGTTCCACCCGCTGTGTGACTTCCAGGGACTGCAGAGCCTCGCTGAGCCTCAGGGAGCGCCCTATTGAGTAAAGCTGAGTTGCTCCTGGCACCTCCTAGCAACCCCAAACCTGTTGTATGCCAGTCTGCCTCCCCCTGGTGGTCAAGAGGCTGAACTGCAGTGGGTTCCTGCATAGTTTGAAGGGGGGCGAGGGGAGCTAACTTAAGGGCCAGGTAGGTCTGCCCAGGCCCCTCCAAACCTTGTGCCCTTAACACACGAAAGATCCTGGAGCTCCAATCTGCCTGTGGAGCCCAAGACCCAAAGAACAAGGCGATTAAACACCATGATCAAAGCAACTCGGGGAGGAAAGGGTTTATTTGGCTTACCCTTCTACACCCACAGTCCATCACTGAAGGAAGTCAGGACAGGAACTCAAGCAGGGCAGGAACCTGGATGCAGGAGCTGATGCAGAGGCCATGGAAGGGTGCTACTTACTGGCTTGCTCCCCATGGCTCGTTCAGCCTGCTTTTCTTTCAGAACCCAGGACCACCAGCCCAGGAATGGCACCACCCACAAGGGCTGGGCCCTCCCCCATCAATCACTAATTAAGAAAATGTCCAACTGGCTTACCTACAGCCAATCTTATGGAGGCATTTTTTTTTTTGGGGGGGGGGAAGGAGCGCTGTGTGTGGGGTTTCAAGACATTTTTTTTTTTTGTGTAGCCCTGGCTGTCCTGGAACTTGCTCTGTAGCCCAGGTGGGCCTCAAACACAGAGATCCGCCTGCCTCCCAAGTGCTGGGATTAAAGGGTGTGCCACACACAGCATAGAGGCATTTTCTTAATTGAGGTTCCCTCCTCTCAGACAGCTTTAGTTTGGGTCAAGCTTGGGCCATAAAACTATCAAGCACAATTGACCAACTTGACACACAAACACATCACTGTAAAGCCACAGCCTTTTCCTCTCTTGCTCACCCCCAAGACCACACATTAATATAGACACCACAGTATAAAACATTTCACATACCAAAAATCCCACAGCCGTACAAACTCAAACACTTTACAAATAAAAATTCAGTTTCTTTTAAAATCCAAAGTCTCTTTTAAAATTGAAAGTCTTTCAAGCATGGGCTCCCAGGAAAAAAGTTTTAAAAAATTGAGTTAAATTCTTTCTTATTTCAAAAGGGAAGAAACCAGGGTAGAGTCCCAATCACATCGAGGTAAAACCAAACTCCAATAGTGTAACTAACTCAATGCCCAACATCTGGGACTCACTCACTGCCTGCTGGGCTCCTCCAAAGCATTTAGGCCACTTCTCCGGCTCTGCCCTCCATGGCACACACAACCTGTCTTCCAAGCCCAGAGCAGCTCCACTCCACGACTGCTCTTCTCGGCGGCCACCCTACGGCACTGGCATCTCCAAAACGCTGGGGTCTTCCACAGCTGGGCTGCACTTTGACTAATAGCCTCTCCACGGTGCCATGGTCTTCTCTGCACGACCCCTTCAGTTCTGGGCCTTCAGCTGCCACTGAGGCTGCGCCTCCACCAGTGACCTCTCCTGGGTTCTCATGGTGCCGAGCCTCGGCTGCTCTCCATGACCCCTTCATGCCCTCAAAACCCATACCTGCTGGGTGACTCTTCCTATGACTGAGTTTAGCTGTGAGCACCAGGTATAATCTTGGCCGCCTCGGGGACAGAGCTTCGGTGTGCCGACTCTGAAGAAACACTCCCCAGAAGACTTCACTTCAGTGATGCTGTCCTCTGTTCAACCAGAGCTGACTCTTCAGCCCCCGATGGTCGCCATCAGCTGTCCCTGCAAAGAGGCGTTACCCCAGTGGTTCTAGTATCCTGTTACCCACAAGATTCTTCAGCCCCAGCTAACCAGAACCACGGTTCTTAACCCCAAATAGCAAACAGCTCTGATCAGAGTCTTTAAGGGACCCTCAGACTTACCTCGGAAATTTCACAAGCCAGGCCCCCACTGTTTGCACTTCTTTCAATATTGTCGTCTTCCAAGCTCCCACAGAACAGCTCACTGGAATCTCAACACTCAATGGCTTTTCTAGAGCAAAGTTTCAAAGTCCTCCCACAATCCTCCCCAAAATCCATGGTCAGGTCTGTCACAGCAATGCCCCACACCTAGTACCAATTTCTGTCCTAGTTAGGGTTATCATTTCCATGACGACACCATGACCAAAGCAACTTGGGGAGGGAAGGATTTATTTGGCTTATGCTTCAACATTTATATTCCACCCCTAAAGGAAGTCAGGGCAGGAACTCAAACATGGCAGGAACCTGGAGCAGGAGCTGATGCGGAGGCCACAGAGGGGTGCTGCTCGCTGGCTCGCTCCTCAAGGCTCTATCAGCCTGCTTTCCTAAGAACCAGGACCACTAGTGGAGGAACGGCACAACGAGCGGGGCTCTGACCCCATCAACCACTAATTAAGAAAATGTCTGTGGCTGGGCGGTGTCATTAAAAGACTTAATAACATTAATCAGGAGGCTGAGGCAGGTGGATCTTAGTTCTAGGACAGTCTGATCTACAGGGCAAGTTTCAGGACCGTCAGGGCTACACAGAGAAACCCTGTCTCAAACAAACAAAAACAAAAGAGAAAAGAAAATGCCCTTCAGGCTTGCCTATAGCCCAACTTTATAGAGGCGCTTTCTTAACTGAGGTTCCCTTCTCTCGGATGACCCAGCATGTGTCAAGCTGGCATAAAACTAGCTAGCACACTGCCACACCAGAAACATCACCACTGGCCCAGCCCTGCCTATCTGTGGCCTGACTCACCCAAGCCGCTTGCCCCACTGGCCTTTCTCAAGCCTGCAGAGCAAAGCCCAGGTTTGGGAAGACACACCCTTGCAGCCACCCAGGGACTCAGGCATCTTCCGTCCCAGGCCCTCAGGTCACCCATGCACAGACCACAGGCCGGCCATGGGGGCATATCTCTATCCTCCTTCCCATATGCACAGCCAGGAAGAAACTGACATGTTCAGAGAGGATGGTGATTAGCCTCAGCTGTCACTTAGACACGGTCTAGAATCACCTGGGAAGTCTCAAGGCGGCACTGTCTAGACCAGGTTGGCCTGTAGGCAGGTACATCCTGATGGCCTCCACAGACTTAAAAAGACCCGGCCCAAAAGGGAGCAGCACCAGGGTTGGGCCTGAGTTATCTAAAAGTATAAAAGCAAACTGAGCCAGGCGTGGTGGCAGAAGCCTTTAATCCCAGCCTTTGGGAAGGCAGAGGTAGGCGATCTCTGAGTTCAAGGCCAGCCTGGTCTACACAGACAGAGAAACCCTGTCTCGACTCCCCGAAAAGAAAACTGAGCACCAAGTGTGCACATATTCATTCCTATCTCTTTTTGACTGTGGTCATGTGACTTGACCAGAGGCTCAAAGCAGGGTCACATGACTTCCCTGCAATGACAGACTAACCTGGACTTGGGAGCTAAAACAAACGGGTCCCCCCTTTAGCTGCTCTGTTAGGATATATCATCACGGCAACAGAGAAGAAACTGGGACCACCCAAAGCTCCTGGTACATGCTGGGACACAGGCGCCCTGCCCTGGCGCAGTGATACACATAGGCAAATGTGGGAACGTCAATGTCTTTATTGAGGTTACAAGGCCCCAGAGTTCGAGGCACGGGCCCTGGTACCCCAAGCATCCTCCTGTCTGGGGCCACAGCACCAGTCTCTTCCTGAGAAAGGCCGGAGATGTGCAGCTCACGCCTGCCCACTTTTGTTCTTCGAGGCCCAGATGTTGGAAAGTCGGAACTTGGACTTCTTCCTCTGGAGGCCTGAGGGGAGGGCAGATGCCTGGTTTCCTGGTAGGCTCCTGTGTTTCCGCGGGCCCTGGCCCGGCCCATGCTGGGAGGCCCCGCCCCCGCGGGTGTAGGGAAGACTGTCCTCTCCGTCCTCCCTGTCCCTTGCTGTCCTCCATAATTACCCAGGTTCTGGATCATACTCTCCAGCATTTGATCCTCCTCTTGTTCCCTGGAATGGCAACAGGATGACTGAGGAACGTGGGTGCTGGGGAGCTACAGAGACTGTGCGTTCTCTCCCTCTGTTGACACCTCAACACCAGAGTCAGCCCTTCCTAGCCCAGGCTACCTCCCCTCCTATGAGAGACCCCACCCTTCCTCTCTTCTTCCCAGCCTAGCCATTCAGCAGTGACCTGGGGACCACAGGCGACCTGGTCTGACAATGGCTAAGGCCCTGTGTGGCCTGGCATTGGGCCTCATTTGACATGAGAGCTGAGCAAACTGAACGCAGGTTTGTACACATTCATTTATGTCACTGTCTCAGACTCCTGCCACATCTGGGACCATGGGGAAGCTCTGCAACCACCAGAAAACACACAGCTGCACACCTCTGATTAAAATTAAGTGCTAAGCTCTACTGGATGGTGCAGGCCCATCATAGCAGCTACTTGGAAATCTGGGGCAGGAGGATTGAGTTCAAAGCCTGCCTGGGCCAAAGAGTGAGTTCAAGGCCAGCCCGGGGAACTTAGTAAGGCCATGTCTCAAAATAAAGTATCAACAAGCTATAGCACGCTAGCACCCTCCAGTGAGGGGCTAGGACATAGCTCACTGTTAGAGTACTTACCTAGAATCCCCTAGTGAAGGGCTGGGGTGTGGCTCAGAGGTAGAGCACCTGCCTAGAATCCCCAGTGAGGGGCTGGGGTGTGGTTCAGTGGTAGAGCTCCTGCCTAGAATCCCCCAGTGAGGGGCTGGGGTGTGGCTCAGTGGTAGAGCCCCTGCCTAGAATCCCCCAG